TTGGTACCATTTATTGAAAGCAAATATTATTTTTTTCAAATTTAATATAACTGAAAGGGTGTACCATTACTGCGCACAAAACATCAGGCTCAGTTTTTTTTAATTTCGTGTTTAGGCCATTTGGATTAAAAAGTGAAAAAAGGTGTCAAAATAAGCTATTTACAACCCATACAGCATCTTCATATTTTAAAATATGTCTTCGTTACTTTCATAAACTCGTAGCAATAACCCACATGAAGAGAATGTATGTAAAAATTAATTTGTAATATGTGCAGTCGCCGAGAAATAGGCAATTTTGCATGAGTCACTTTTCACGTTATTTTGCCTATAAAAGAATCAATTATTATCGATTTTCAATTTTCTTTCACCATTTGATGCCTAATGCCACAGTCGACTAGGCCAAACCATTTTAACACTTTCACTGTCACCAGAAATGACGTCATTTGCCAATAACTTAATTTTCAGTCTTCAAAACAAATATTTTATTCAAATGAGTCGTACTTGTTATTTGTTTCAAATTATGATATTTGATTCCAATCAACAAATAGAATGAACCCATACGATCATACAGATACCACAAAATGGTTTCTAACTTGTCTGGTTGTAGAGAAATAGACGATTTTCTACAAGTCACTTTTCAAGGTTTTTGGTCTATGAAAGTGTCAATTATTATTCGATTTTCATAAAATTTTCACCATGTGATGCTCTATGCCATTTCTGATTTCATAAAACTAATTTAACATTTTCATTCTCACCGGAAGTAATGTCATTTTGGCAAAAAACTGTATGCTTCTAGCATCTTCCCTTGCCAAGAAATAACCAATTTCGTCAGGATCACTTTTTAAGATTTTTCGCATTTTAATTTCAGTTTATGGGTTCTAAGTTAATTATTTATTGCCTGATTTGTATAAAACAAAAGCTCATATACTCCTTGGTGCAAATTCTCAACTTGTTTCCCGCTAAAAGGAATGATAATTTTTATATAAAAAAAAATGTTCATATTTTTTTCCGCCGTTTGAATATATCACTGTTACACCCGTTTCGTAAAAATCGGACCAAAACTGACAGACAAAATGGCCGCCCCTCGTTCACAAATAGTGTCAAAATATTGTGTATCAGGGTTGTGGACCCTCTGGAGGTTACAATTTTCATCTGATTTTGATGAAATTTGAAATGCATGTTTATAACCCAAATATCTTGGTTCCTTTCTATTTTCCTGCATATCGAATCATAACTTCCTGAATTATGGCCCCTGATTGTACGAAAAATCGCGTTTTTAGCTTGTGGTCCTCAGGAGGTCACAATTATTATCCGTAATTTTGTCTGAGGTTTAGTTTCATGAAAATCGGACTGAAACTGACAGACAAAATGGCCGCCCCTCGTTCACAAATATTGTCAAAATAATGTGTATCAGGGTTGTGGACCCTCTAGAGGCCACAATTTTGATCAGATTTTGATGAAACTTGAAATGCAAGTTTATAACCCAAAGATCTTGGTTCCTTTCAATATTCACGCATATCGAATTGTAACTTCCTGAATTATTGCCTCTGGTTGTATGAAAAATGGCATTTTTAGCTTGTGGTCCCTCTAGCGGTCACAATTATTATTCGATTTAAAAAAACGTTTGAATATATCACCGTTACTCTGTAATGTTTGTTGAATTTGAATTTTGTGAAAATCGGGCCAAAACTGCTGGACAAAATGGCCGCCCCTTGTACGCAAATAGTGTAAACATCCGGTAAATCAGGGTTGTGGACCCTCTAGAGGTCACAATTTTGATCCGATTTTGATGAAAGTTGAAATACATGTTTATAACCCAAAGATCTTGATTCCTTTCGATATTCGCGCATATTGGATTGTATCTTCCTGAATTGTGGCCCTTGAATGTACAAAAAATCACACTTTTAGCTTGCGGTCCATGTAGAGGTCACAATTTTTATCTGATTTAAAAGATCAAGGATTCCTTTTGATAATCCCATATGTATGAACGTAACTTCCTGGATTATGACTCCCGATTGTTTGAAAAATCACATTTTTAGCATGCTTATTCTCTAGAGGTCACAATTTTTTTTTCCGATTTTAAAAAACGTTTAAATATATCACCATTCCACCATAATGAAGGTTGAATTGGAATTTCGGGAAAATCGAAATGAAACTGCCCGACAAAATGGCCGCACTTTGTACGCAAATTGTACGCAAGTATGCTACGAAGGTTGTGGAACCCTCTAGAGGTCACAATTTTTATCTGATTTTGATGAAACTTAAAACATATCTTTATATCCCAAAGATTTTAGTCCCTTTTGATTTCTGCGCATTTCAGACCATAACTTTCTGGATTATTGCCCCTGATTGTACAAAAAATCCTGTTTGTTTTAGCTTGTTCGCTATTCATCTCTTGCAAAATGTGGGTGTTTCCTGCCTGGCAGCCGCTGGTTTCTGTTTGTTTTGATGTAATCTGTTATACGCTGTAGCCTAAATAGAATGTTTTATGAAAGAATCTATTTTAGCTATAGAGATGGTATATTAGTAGGGATAATAAAACTACCAGACCATACAATCTGTTGTTATAAGCTGTAGTCGAAATGGGACGTAGGCGAAATGGGAGGGTACCTCTGGTGAATAACGAACAACAAATTAGTTTGTTGTTCGCAAAACACAAGCTAACTTCACGTCGCTGGGTTTATATTAGTTAGCAGAAATGAAAAACGTGATAACCGCAGAAGAAGATGAGGGACTTGTATAATTGAAATATGTAAGTACAAACTTATACTATGGTTATTTTATAATTTAGATGCAACTGCAGTAGTAGAAACTGGAATTTCACATCGTATACGATCTTTGTTTGATAAAAGTCTACAGCATTCCTGTTGTAAACATTGTCCATTAGTCTGGAGGCTATATATTGCCTACGAGGTAAGAATTATAAAATATGAATGAATGTAAGGATGTAACAAGTCAAAAAAATTTGAACCGGTTAACCGATGGGCAAAAATCCGACCGTGACCGGTCAACCGATTCACTTTTTAGTGTAGAGAGTTATTAATTGTCGGTACCGTACAAAACATGATTAAAGTCTTTACTTTTCACACTGTTGAACTTCATTTTAAATATAACTAATAAACCCCAAGAGTTCATCTTTTGCAGCTTATTTTGTTTTTCATTCAAATTTCTCTGTAGAAACATTCAGTCGTCTAACAGTCAACAAAAGGGTCATTAGCCTATGTACAGGAATACAATGTCTCGACGGTATGCTACCACATGGTCATATTATCACTCGCCCTGGTATCACGTGCCTTGCTGTTGTGTGACAGATCGGAAAAATGATTAGATATTATTAGTGTTCGACCTGTTATAAATATCTCCTACCTCCATCTTTATGTGCAATGTTTTAATGTAATCCAATAATAAATTCAGTTCAGCAGATTCACGTGTACCATTACGTTCTCCGATATTAAATAGATTAGAATGGCCTTTAGGGGACGATTGATGGTTTGTGGAGTCATTGTTCTAATGGCTTTTGTATATAAGTGAAATCACGTTACCTCTTTTGATGCCAAACATCAGTCAGTTGGACCTCCTGTTTTAACTTTATTATGACAAAGGGAGAAGATGACCCACCCTCTCTTCTCACGACAGCGAATTTATTATAAGTGTGCTTTAAGAAACTTTTGGAATCCGAGGACCTTTTTATTTTGTGTTTTTAACAATTTTCAAGTGTAAATAATTTAATTAAAGCAACCTCTCCATAATATCATATTCATTGTATGTAATAGTTATATACCTTGTTTTCAAGGTGTTATGGGTTGATACACCGTCTCTTGTTTGAGTGGAGCTCCGAGGCGAGAGTGACGCACATTCGAAAAGTGCTGAGACAGTTGAAAATGATGACTCTTTTACCATAACATGTTCAAAACGGGTTGTAGATGTTCAAATAAACATGTAAATCATGATTTTGTTATTTTTGTCCCTTTTCAACTGATACACGGCCACTTTTCAAAAGTGGCCGTGTATCGGTGTATACCCTCCCATTTTCATCAAATAGTCGAGAAAAAGTATTGTTATAATGGACGTTAAATCTGTAATAAACAACAATAACCTCTGCAGGCCTGTATCAGCATTTTCACTGATAATATTAATTAAATTTCATTTTCTTTCAGAGTGTTGTGATTATTAAAACCTTATCAAATTATTGTCAGTACTTCACAACAAGTTATCCATTAATTAATTTGTTTAATTTTCAGGAAAGTGGTCTATGTCATATTGGATGTTGTTATTAGTATTATTACACTTATCATCCTTGATCACTTTCATAATCATATTACTTTAAATAAGTTAGGTTTCTTTCAATTACAAGGGTGTCTCTGGTTGGTCAGCATTAACCAAGTATTATTTTATACATGTATATATTGTTTATATTCTGGTCTGGCCTGCAGGGAATAAAACTTTGTATAAGCAGTGCGATGCAAACGCTAGACAGGTCATTTTGGAGGCAAAAGGAAATCATTGGATGGCATTCTGTGATAGTAGTACTGGATAATCTAATAAGAATTCCTTCTCTGATGAATAATCTAACCACAATTCCTGCTGTTTGGACCATTTGATAGAAAATTCTACTGTGAGGGCCAGTCTGAAAAGAAATTTGGCTGTGATCGTGATTTTGACGAAAAATTCTGCTTTAAACGATAACAAAAATTCCTGCTCTGATGAATAATCTAAAGAAAAATCCTGCTCTGATGAATAACCTAACCACAGTTTCTGCTGTTTGGACCAATCGATAGAAAATTCTACTGTGAGAACCTGTCTGAAAAGAAATTTTGCTGTGATGGCTATTTTGATGAAAAAGTTTGCTTTAAACGATAGTCTACCAAAAAAATCCTGCTCTGATGAATAATGTAAAGAAAAATCTTGCTCTGATGAATAATCTACCACAATTCCTGCTCTGATGTATAATCCAAAGAAAAATCCTGCTGTTAGGACCAATCTGAAGAAAATTCTGCTGTAATGGCTATTCAGATGAAAAGTTCTGCTATGATGGCTATACGAACGAAAAATTCTGCTTTAAACAATAGTCTAACGAAAATTCCTGCTCTGATGAATAATTTTAAGAAAAATCCTGCTGTTGTGTATAATCTAAAGAAAAACCCCTGCTGTTTCAAGTGTTTGGACCATTTTTTGGACAATCCTGCTATGAGATCCAATTTGGACCATTTTTGGAACAGTCCTGCTATGAGAACCAATTTGGACCATTTTTGGGACTATCCTGCTATGAGAACCAATCTAAAAACAAATTCTGCTGTGATGGCTATTTGACGAAATATTCTGCTGTGATGGCTATTTGATGAAATATTCTGCTGTGATGGCTATTTGACGAAATATTCTGCTGTAATAGGTAATCTAACGAAATTCCTGATGTGATGGATAATGTAAAGAAAATGATGGGTAATCTAATGAAAAATCTTGCACTGGTGAGTAATTTAACCACAATTCATGCTGTAATATATAATCTACAGAAAATTCCTATTGTTAAGACCAGTGATGCCCAATTGGACATAAAGACATGGTGAATAATATTCAAAATTCCAAAATTAATATAGTGTACAAAGTGTATAACTACCACTCAACCCGATTATTGTTGATAATAGGCTGGATTGATTAGGTAATTTAGTGATCAACGTATTTATCGTGTTATACCGTCCATACACCTACCTTGATTAACTACTTAAACAAGTGAATCTGCCTTGATTGACTGACTTAATCCTTTGTCGGACAATTCATCAATCTAATCTTCAACAGAAGTCATTGCTTCTGTGATAGAGTATAACTCTACTCTACATGTACATACAACATTAATTGTGAAATATTATGTATTTAAAGTTTTATATATATTTTATTATTACTACACATGTTCATTTCGTATATACATATATTTTATTATTATTACACATTTCTTACAGAGGTTAAATCTTGATAGACTAGTTGTAAATTAATCTAATTGTTTTAATTACCAAAACGTCTAGAGATATATAACTTAAGCTCATTCAAACTGTATTCTTATAATTAAATCTATTGTGTTAATTGTTTAATGAGTTAATCTTAGGACGCTCTAAATCAGACCTGTTTACCAACATGTATATAAACTCAAGCAGAGTGCAGCATATATATTCACTCTGGAAATAAACATACATGTTGAACAACCTCATCTGATTTAGAGGCTAATTTACTTTTTAGGATAATTGAGAACGAAACAGCCAAGCAAGTAAACAACCACCCCCAACCCTTACGTATTGTAGTAGAATCTTGATGCAAAGGATTCCCTCAATATAGAATGCAATACATCTTCATGTCAAGACAAAAGGGAAGTTCGAGACCATCTGTTTTTCCGTATAGTATAGTACTCCAAGGTATCTCGGGTATGGAAAATGAATTACCAAATGACCAAACTATAGTGCAGTCCAAAATGCCAATTTACATGGGTAAATTTAACGGCGAGAAAGCACAAAATTTTGACATTTGGGGCACAGCGTTTTAAAGCCTCAATTAATGCTGGAAACATTAATGGACACAATCAAAAATTATTATTGTGGGGCTCTCTTGAAGGCAGAGCAAAGATGTATTTTGACTCCCTAACCTGCGCTTTTGAAGAAACCCCTCTTCAGACATTTTTGGACGCACTGAAAGAACGTTTTGGAAACAGATCATCATTTGATCTATCAGTGCTAGAATCCAATCAAGGAATATGTGAATCTGTAGATGACTATATGGACAGAGTTCAATCGAATACAATGGGATATTCTATTCCAGACCACATATTCCTTCCAATCATCATCAAAGGACTTAAACCATCAATACGGCCGTGGGTACAAAATAAAGATCCACAGAGTGTCCAAGAAGTACGCAGATTCGCAAAATTTGTGGAAAATAACATTAGTTATCAGGATGTTAATTTTGTACAACGAGAGGAACTTCAAAAATTGTTATTAGAAACATTGAAGTTACATAACATTCAAGAACAAGCTTGGGCCTTGCAAAAACAACATCAACAACCGCAATATCACCCAATGATGCCACAGGAAGAGGAACAAGATCTACGGTTCGAGCATCATCCTCAATCTAACAGGATGAATTACCAACAAAACTATAACAGACATGGCCAGCCAATGATATCAATAGTATGATCAACAGCGACATCCACAACAACAATATAGATCAAATCAAAGAAGCGTCAACTTTCAACACACCAAATCCCATCATGATGATGAGTTAGTTGTATTTTACGTCCGCTTCCACCGAGGTGATATCGCAGACAACAAATCCCATCAAAACCAACATACAATGTATAGACAAGTGGAAGATGATACACAGATTGAAAGCTGTAGATATTGTGGTAAGGCTGAACCTTGTATTCCTCATTCTACTTGCTATTACTATAATTATACTTGTACAATTTGTAATAGAAAGGGTCACCATTTCAAGGTTTGCGAACAAAATGTCAAACCGCAATAGGATAAGGCGCCTGTCTCTCAATTCAGCATTGGGAACAGGCACAATGATAAGCCAACCATTCAATTGATAGCGCCTATGGAAAAGAACACAATATTAGTATCTGTCAATAAGTAAAAAACTAGAGCATTATTAGATACCGGCGCTAGTATATCATGTGTATCGCTTAGATATTTACAAAAAGCAGGTATTACAGAAAATCAACTAGGTGTCAAAGAATTTACAATATTGTAGGTGTAGGAGGTGAGACACATCCAGTCTTAGGGACAGTTAAACTTCTTGTAAAAATTGCAAATTATGTAATTGAGCACAAATTTCACGTATTCTTGAATTTGCACCACTCTCTTATATTAGGTTTTGATTTCATGGAAACTAACCAGACAGAGATTAATTTTATACAGCACACTGTATATTTCAAAGACAGACTTGTTTCTATCACACTTATGGAATCTAGCTTAGGAGTCGTCGCAAGGTCTAAATGTGTGTTTAAACTGGCACCAGGCCAAGAGGCAGATATTCCTATTACCATTTCCAGAATTACAGGCGAATGCCCATTTCTGTTAGAACAAATAGTCAACACTTCTACTACAGTAAAAGGTGCCAAATTTATTGTTCAGCCCAAGAAAAAATTAGCAGCCATGAGAGTGCTCAATCCAACAAATGAAACTGTGAATATACCAAGAAATAAAGTGCTAGCTACTGTATGTGGCATAACCGTCAACGATATCTTCGATAATCATCGACCCTTGGTAAAAGCACCAAAAGTCAATATAGCTGAAAGAACTGGTGTTGACACAGAGAACGATGTGGTCTTTGATTTAAGTGACTCTGATCTCTCCGAAAATGAGAAACTACAACTTCAAGAATTTCTCCAAAAATAACGAGATGTCTTTGCAATGAATTGGAATGAACTGGGTAAAACAGATCTTCATTATCACGAAATTGATACGGCTGATGCCCGACCTGTCTGCATGCCAATTTACAGACAATCTATGCACGTCAAGGAAGAATGTTCTAAACAGATCAAAGAGATGTTGGAAGCTGGTATCATCGAGCCAAGTGATTCCATGTGGCATTCTCCAGTAGTAATGGTTAAGAAAAAAGACGGAAGTTACAGGTTTGCAGTAGATTATCGGAAGTTGAATGCATTCACCAAACCAATATATTACCCAATCCCAAGGTTTGAAGATGTCATTGATTCCATTGGACAAGCCGAACATAAACTATTTACAGTTTTGGATTGTTTTAGCGGTTTTTGGCAGGTACCATTGCATGATAATTCCAAGCAAAAGTCTGCTTTTATCACACCCGAAGGCGTGTTCCATTTCAACCGCCTTCCCTTTGGTCTTAAGAACGCCCCAATGCATTTCAATCCACTCTCTCAAAAGCCTTAAGAACCATGAATTACCAGTATGTGCTAATCTATATTGATGACATCATCATCTACTCAAGATCATTCCCGGAACATGTACAGCACCTGAAAAACGTATTCACCAAGTTAAAACAAGCAGGACTCACCTTGAAACCCAGTAAATGCTGATTTGCAGCTAAAAAGGTTAATTATCTGGGACATATATTTTCGAAAGATGGCGTTGAAGTGAACACGGTGAAATCTTTTCCACAACCAGGCACTCAACAAAAAGTGCGACAGTTCCTTGGATTAGCCAACTATTATCGTAAGTTCGTTCCTAATTATTCTCGGATTGTAGGTCCACTTACAAAACTCCTCCAAAAAGATGTTGAATTCCAATGGTCTACCAACTGTCAGTCGGCCTTTGATGCTCTCAAAAATGCTTATCCAAACTTTGACAAAAAATTCATTCTGACTACAGTTGCAAGTGGCGAAGCACTTGGATACATTTTAGGACAGCTTGATAACCATGGAAGGGAACATGTAATTGCTTATGTCAGAACAAGAAAGCCTCGCAACCCTAGAAGGAATAAGGTTTTTTTAGACCATATTTAGCAAATAGAAAATTTACAGTGTACACAGACCACAAACCTTTAGTATACCTTAAATCTGTCAAACACAAAGGATCTGGAAGATTAGCTAGATGGTCACTAACACTACAAGAATATGATATGGACGTACGATACAAGGAAGGGAAAACAAACTTAAATGCAGATGCTCTTTCAAGGCGGACATACTCTAGCCCTCCTAAAGAATCAGCCTCAAATGATATACCATCTCTGTTAGCAGCTGATACGGACTCCGAGAAACTGGAAGTTTCATTTGCATACCACGGAAACTCACCACTGGTAGCAGCAACTCATACAGATGACGAGGTAAAGGAGAGTGGCATATCTGAAAAACAGCGTAACTGTCCAGACTTCAGTACTATAATCCAGTACAAAGAAAAGGGCGAAATTCCAGAACACTTCACCGAAACTCAAGTGAAAGGTCTTGTTGGTCGTGCAATGGAATACGACATACTGAATGGGGTTCTATACCACCTACATAGGCAAATTGACTAGTAACCATTACTCAATTAGCAGTACCAAAGCAGGAGAGACTTCCACTTCTACAGGCTTACCACGACTCTAAATTAGGTGGATGCCATTTGGGAAGAGACTCAGACAGAGGAAGACAGTTTACATCAATTTTCGTCAATACTATTTGTGAACTTTACGAGGTAAAACATGTTACAACTATAGCTTACCAACCCCAAACTAATGCAGTGTGCGAAAGACGAAACAAAGACATAGCACAAATATTCAGGGCATACATCAATGAGAAACAAAACAATTGGTCAGAACTACTACCATTTGTAATGATGGCTCTCAGAAGCTCACCATGTCAGTCAACAGGGTTTACTCCGCATTACCTATTATTTGGACGGGAAATGTCTCTTCCTTATGACACTACAATCCTACCAACCCAATCTCTGAGTAATGATGCCAAGACGACCTATGTGCAACAACTCCTCGAAAATCTGAAGATAATAAGACAAATAGCGAAGCAGAG